ACCTGTGTTCTCACAGTCACAGACGTGTTCAGACACAACACGAACACACCTGTGTTCTCACAGTCACAGACGTGTTCAGACACAACACCAACACACCTGTGTTCTCACAATTGCAGGCGTATTCAAACACAAAACCAGCAAACCTGTGTTCTCACAGTTGCAGACGTGTTCAAACACAAAACCAATAAGTCTGTGTTCAAAGACCATACTTTCAAACAGCAGATTTCTTCGGAACCATGGGCAGGCTCCTTAAACAACTTTCTTCTGAATCCCACAGCTGTTAGACGCCAGCACTGTGCTTTTGATAAGACACTGCAGAAGTATATATGGCAACTAGGTCCCCTCCATTTTTTCTCTCCAGGGTCAGTAAGGCTTTCAGAAAGCTAACATACCAGACTCTGAACAGCGACAAGTCTGCACCTTGCTCAAGAAGTAATCCTGAGATGCATTAGCTTGTGGAGATGGAAATGTTTCCTTGGGGCCCTTTATTATCTTGTTATAGGTCTCCTCACCCTGCCATGTCCCTGTTTTCCCTAAGCTGGCCTTTTCTTGGTCTGAACGTAGGTCTGTTGCCTCATAGCTCCAGTTGGCGGGAACTGCCCTGCCTGTTCTGACAAGAGACGAGTGAGTGGCAGCAGGTAGCTAGTCCTTTCTTTTTTCTGGAAGGCAGGATTTCACTTAAGTTGGTGAAAGGAAAACTACCCACAGGTCTGTTGAGAGCTCAGGCGCAAACCTTTTCTGCTCAGCCTGCCCTTCGGGTGTTAAGGTGAAGTGTGTGGTAGTCTCATTGAAAAGGTCACATGGATTACTGAAGTTTTCTTTTCTTTTCGCCTCAGCTAAAGCCAATTCAAATAGTTTCCAATCCACTGTCTACGTATAATCAGCAGCTGTGGCTGACGTGCGTCGTCGAGTTGAACCAATCGAAAGGTATGCCGCCTGACGCCCTGGGTGACTTTTCTTTGTATGAGGCGCCGTATTTTAGAGGTCTAAAGGGCTTCACAGTATTTGGACAAGATGATGAAGAAGGGTGTTCATTATTATTTATAATAGCAGCAAGTTGGAAATCCCTTAAATGTCTTCCAGGACTCAGTGCTTAGGGCTTGTTAAGGGTGGTGGTCTAATTTGGGAATGGGCAGGGCTGTGGGTGAACAACATGGTGAACATAATTAATGCCTTTGAAGTGTATATGTGAAGATTGTTGAAATGGCAAATGTTTTGTTACGTATATATTTACTACAATTAAAAAAAAAAAAAAAAAGTCCTCCAGTCGGAGAGTCAGTTGTGACCCAGCCCTCAGTGGGGTGCGTGTCAGCTCAGCTCTGGGTGAGCAGGCGGAGGTGCCGCTGCTGCCAGCCTTTTTGAATGGTGGGCTGGGGATTCTGCCCCCCAGCACAGTTGGCAGTGTTTTGAGGATGGGGCTGCTACCGGCATCTAGTGAGTGGAGATCGACTGCTGCTAAACATCCTACAATGCACAGGGTGGCCCCCACAACAGAGTGAACTGGACTGAACTGTGTGAAGTGTCAAGCTTGAGAAACCCTGCCCTAAGACACCCATTGCTTCTGACTCGTTAACGTCTGTTCATCTAGAACAGGACTAGTTGAGTGTTATCCTTGGGAGAATTGAGAAGACAGTCACCCAAATTATTTTCTGTGTTTTGTGGTTCAAATGAGGCGTTTGGGTTGAAAAAAACATTAGAAAGATGACCTCAGTAAATTAAGTAAAAAACATACATATTGGAAAAAAAAATTATCCTCTTTTTGTAAAATTTTGAAAAGCAAGAATAAATTTTATATCACTATATGTTTGTGCCTAGAAGATGAAGGATGGGCACAAAATGTTAATTATGTTTATCTTTAAGTGGTGGGATTATAAATGTTTAAATATATATGTATTTTTTTTATAAGCCCATTGCTGTCAAGTTGATTCCAATTCATAGTGACCCTACAGGACGGAGTAGAACTGCCCCATAGAGTTTCCAAGGCTGTAATCTTAATGGAAGCAGACTGCCATATCTTTCTCCTGTGGAGCAGCTGGTGGATCTGAACTGCCGACCTTTTTGGTTAGCAGCAGAGAGCTTAACCACTGTGCCACCAGGGCTCCCTATATATTGTGTGTATATATAGTATAAAATAGTTTTCATATACTTTGTTTTCTTATTTTTTTTAAATGAACATATAATCAGAAAACATAATTATATAATCAGAAAAAAATAAGTAATCTACTATTTTGGTATAAAGTTAAAAACATATGTGGAAAATTAAAAACTATTTCATGAACCATTAAGTATTTGTCGTTTGTAAAGTGAAACTCGTGAGTCTGAAGTAGAGTTGTGTACACAGGCCACTGGAGTAATTAGTTGGAAGTAGAGCCCAGTAGGAAAGGCTTTACTTTGGTGAACAGATGTGAGGTTTTCCAATAAACCCAGGCTTAGCATGGTTTAAGCATCCCCACTGGGCCTCCTGTGTGTTCCTGGCTCTAAGGCTATTCTAGAGCCAGGCAGCATACCTGTGCAGGTATGAGGAAGGTGCCCGAGGTGGTCCCTGACAGTGAGCTGGCAGCACACCTGTGCAGCTGTGAGGTAGGTGCCTGAGGTGGTCCCTGACAGTGAGCTGGCAGCACACCTGTGCAGGTATGAGGAAGGTGCCTGAGGTGGTCCCTGACAGTGAGCTGGCAGCACACCTGTGCAGGTATGAGGAAGGTGCCTGAGGTAGTCCCTGACACTTTCCCATTTCTCCCCTCTTTCTTTTGTAGAAACTTCTGTTCAGACAAGGTTTACCATGACTGTTAAAGTCAATGGTGTAGCTCAAGATGGAACCATAATGTTCATCCATAACGAAGTTCACAATCGGACCAGGACCCTCACGTGTGCAGAGGTGAGTGCTCGTGACTGTTCCTTGATTATTCACTGAGCCACACTGTCACAGGTCCGCATCTCTGATGTCGTGAGCAGAGCACAGTCAGAGGCTTCTTTAAAAATGGAGTCATACCAGTGATGGCCGGGGAAACTCATGGAAATGTATACATTGATACCCTCAGAGATTCTTAGAAGGTTTCACACACACGTGTGCACACAGACACACAGACACACACACCCTGAGTGTATGTGATAGCCTATTTGACTCTTTGTTGAACTTACTGCCTGGCGTGTGTTTAGGTGAATGTTTACAGAGCACCTGTTGCATATGAAGTTTGGTCACTGTTCCATGACCTCTGCTTAGCAGGGGGTCCCAGTCAGGATTCAGCAGGCTACTGGCAGCTTGGGGAACTTGGAGAGCATGAAAAAGGGCAGTCGGTGTGATTTTAGGGTTAGGGAAGCAGTGTCAGACAGCAGTTAGTGAGTGGTTTCTGTGGCCAGGCATCATGCCACACACTGTCCATACCTTAACTCAGGAAGTAAAGCGATTATGAGAGCTCCATTTTACGCAAGAAGAAATTAAGACTTAGAAAGGTCAAACCAAGGGCCCAAGGTGACATGTGAGAGGGCCGGGGTTAAGCCCAGGCTCGCTTATTCCGGAGCCTGGGGTATGAACCAGTGTGCATACCGCGTACTCATTACAAGTGAAAATACTGGCCTTGTTTATCCTGACAAGAAAAGACTCAGGTAGAGAAGGATTGGTGTGCACTGGTTGGCCCCGTCCACTGTCCCTCTGTCGACGTTTTATAGAGGGCAGTAAGGGGTCAGGACCAAGTTGCAGGGGGCCGGGTTGCTGACAGTGCCGACAGTGTCTCTTACAACAGAATCTCTGGTACCCACTTCTCCCGCCACGGCAGTGCCAGCCCTGCTCTGTCTGTCAGACTGTCGGCCGTGTCTAGGGGAGACCCTGAGGTCATCCGGGCTCTCGTGTGTGAGCAGGGCTGAGCCGGCTCGGAACACACTCTCCTCGTCTGTAAAGTAGAGGTAGTGCTGTCTCTGCCAGTGTTTGGGGCCGTGGTGGGGACTGAACTGAACACTGCGTGTGGAGGTATTCAGCGTCTGCACCAGGGTCAGGCACCCCATGCCCA